TCCGGCCCCCCCTATCAGACCTGACGCTTACAACTTTGAGACTGAAATTCTTACATCCGCAGGATCGTATATCACTTTTTAACTGGCTGATTTTTTAAATTAATGAATCCAAGTAAACGGTAAGCGGCCAAGGAATTATAACGTGCAACCGCGACTGGTGGGAGGGGGTGTGGGGGAGAATTAATTTGCCTCAAAAAAGTCCAACAGTCCTTTCTGAACCAAAGTTTGGACGCCCCTATAAAAAATTCCTGGATCCGCCCCTGCATCCCACCCCAGGGGAGGACATCCACCTTACAGTAATCTCGTGCGTGGGAAATGAACGTCTCTTACCCCTAACCCAGCAGGGGACGGGGCCTACGGTTTATTCGTCCTTATCCGAGAAGACTAGAATATCTATGCTTTTCTTAATATTATAGAAAGGTAGCAAATTCTCCTCAGTTATTTTAAGACCATGAGTATTGGTCCGACCGGGGCTCGAAGTCCTGCGCAAGACATGGCCGAACGTAGGTTAGATGTGAGATTTATAAATCACTTCCAGATCGCCGAGAACTTTCTCATTGACAAATAATAGTTTGTATTGTGTGGGGTCTTCCAATTTGTTTAATTTTTTTAGAAAAATATCCGACTGCTGGTTACTCATTCGTTTGAAAACTCTGACTGGCTGCTGATTATACGACCCGAGCGTACCAAACTTTACAGTTTTCGACAAAGCGCAGCTTCCCTCTAACATTAAGCCACAAAATCGCCAAAATTTTCTTGTTCTAATACACTTGCTTCCCTCATGTGCCGTCATGTGTATTTTTGCGATCTTGAAAGATCGTGGGCTCACATGTTTGTTTTTTCAGCCTGTGGTATTGCCACCGATTTCTATACTACTTTAGTCCTTTGAGTGCAGATTTATCCACGAAAATGAAAATTTCGGCGAGAGAAGAAGGTCGGAGTTTCGTTCATAAAATGTCGTCTGCGCTATTGTCGTCTGCAGCCATTTTGAGTACTATTTACCATGTCAAACCACGTGAACACATAGCTAAAAAGAGTCTATTGACGTAACGCCACGAAAATAGACATTGCTAAAATCAACAGATGGTAATGCACTGCGCCTTTACGAGGAAATCTTGGTTCGGTAAGTGACGCTTTAAAGAAAATTTCCCCTCTGATTTGTTAGATGAAGTCTGGCTTTGCGTCGAATCCAACAGTCCTTGAAAGTCTTGAATTGAAACGGTGAGTTAAAATTATTCGTATTTTAGATCCCAAATATCTAGTAAAACGAATGGTCAAAGCATGCAGTCAGCACTTTCGCTTCTGAGTAGATAAATACGTCCAAACGCCATCGTCTGTAATTTAACGTACTGATGCAAAGTTTCTGTTGCTTAACTCACTTCAATTCATAAAATATCTGACCAAATATTTAAAAAGACAAGAAAAGGACACTGATTTTCGGTCACTGACTATTTTAGATCTGGCGGTTCTAGAATTGCGCAACTTGGTTGATGCTGCGTCGACATGAATGCTGGGATTGGTTGAGCCAGTACCAGGTCACTCATTGGGCATGTTGTTTCGCGCGGCCTCAATTTTTGTTGTTGTTTAGTTGCAGAGCCAGAAAAGCTTCGTAAATTCCCTTAAAAACTGTGTGTTTGCAAGCCGTTCTCCTTTTCGTGATGGATATAGGAAATCTGTGATCTGCATGGGAATGTGAAAATGATCGTAGTGTATCCCAATGCAATTTACTTTATCCCTCATAAAGCTCTGACAGTGAATTTTCTACAGTCCCCCCTTCCCTCCCCTCATCCCTTTTATACTCTGTCGTAGACTAAAAAGTATAAAGAGTGAGCATAAACTTACCAGTTAACAAATGCATACTACCATTTTCAGTTGAGTGAGAAGCAACGAAAGTTTGGTTAAAATTTTATTTTTGTTGTTTTTGCTAGAGACGAAGTGCCGTTTGACTTCTTTTAACAGCCTTCCAAAAAATGTCTCAATAAGGGAGGTGGGGGGAGTCACGTTGACAGTTGATGATCAAATTTTTAGATCGGTTAACGGTTGACGGTTTACGTTTTGGAATGTCGTTTATAAAACGAACTAAACGCTCGAATATGGCTGTAATTTTTCATAATGACATGTTTGTAAAGAACTGTTAATTTGTACCACCTTCTATTGATAGATGACTAACGTTTTATGACGCCGGAAGTGTTTCCACACCGGAAGTCAGTTCTGTCGCTGCCCAGTTTTACTCACGACTGGGAGTTTGAAGACTTACATACATGTATTTTTGTGAAATATAAAAACTTTTATTCATAAACGACAGAACTTGACCTCAATTAAGGCAATCGTTTAGTTCTTGTTTAACGATATCGGAGACATTAGACGGCTAACATTGGCTTGCTTATTTGACGGTTGACGGTAAAAATATTGAGTTTTTGATTGTTGGCGGTTGATATTTTGGTCATTTCAAGGTGGACAGTTAACCCATTGAGAACCTCTTCCAAATTTGACAGTTGGCGACGCACAGCTCTCGAGATTCTATTAGCAAACGAAGAAAATTGCCCTTGACAACTTCACCGTCAAACCTCCGTCCCCAAACTTTGTCGGAGTCTTACTCAACTTATAATCGTAGTAAATGTTTAAAAGTTCTAAATCCTTGGAAAAGATAAACAAAGTGTTATAACTAACTGACTTGACTAATGAAGACACTGCTTTTGTAAAGGGTCTGATTGAATATGGCCGCCCCTATGGAATATACTGCAGAGCAATTGAATTACTACAGGATCTGTTACATTGTCACCGATGTACTAGCCGAAGGCCTTCGAACAATCTTCAAACAAGAATGGGACAATCGCTACAAGGTAACGCTGGGAGAATGGAAAGATGAACCGAAAAATGGAATGGACTTTGAGAGCCATGAATCCCCACGAAACAGAAGTAGAAACGCCCGTCTCTTGAAAACTATGATCAATGGTGACGGAGCGGAATGGGATTGTACCATGCTGTTTTATGCCATTCGTTATTCCGATTGCCTCTGCAGTCTACATCCAGCGGTTCAGTCAAATGTGGATGATCTCAGAACATTTCGTAATGAAGACTTTGCGCATATACCACGAGGCCACCTTTCTGGTGGATATTTTCAAGAGGCGGTTTTAAAGGTAAATACTGCATTTCACGCACTCGGTCTTCCCACTCTACAAATCCGTGAAATCCAAACTCAGACACGTTTCCCGATGAAAGAGTTAAGAAATGTTCTGAAGAACGTTGACAACCTTCAACAATAAGTTATCGAGAAGGAAACAAAGCTTCAAGAAAAAGACAAGGAACTTTTTTAAAAAGAAACGAAACTCGTAGAAAAAGAGAATCAACGACAGGCCCTTGAGGTACGCTGCAAACAAAGGTCTTACCATTTTGTATTCTTCCTCCTGGACCTACACATGACGTCTTCTCTCACAGATCGGAGGTTGATAAAATCACACAACACCTCATAGAACTCAAAGATGCCAACCATGACAGCTTAAGCACCTTGTACTTAATCGGAAACCCTGGAAGTGGAAAATCTCAGCTGGCCCGTTTAGCAGCCAAGCGATTTTTCGACGAGAGCAAAGAAACTCCCTCTGCGATTTCATTTGTCATGACACTTAATGCAGAAAGTTCAGAAACACTTTTGGAATCGTATGTCTCCTTTGCTCGACACTGTAAATGTCCAGATTACTCAGTTACAGAAACTCGTAATTCCAAAGATCTGTGCACAGACGAAAAAATTGCAAGTCTCAAGACGCTAATAAGCGCAAAAATTGAGCTGTACACGTCGTGGTTGCTGATATTTGATAATGTCACTAGTTTGTCACATGTACATACTTATTTGCCAGGTCCAGAAAATCAACAATGGGCGAGGGGCCAGTCACTGATAACAACAAAAGACACCTAGTCTATTCCTTTAAAAAAGTCCTTCATTCAGCACATCTCAGTAAGCAAAGGAATGTTACCTGATGATGCCTGCTCCATGTTAAGGCTCCTTTCTGGTGTCACTGATGACGAGGTAGAAAAAGAAATTGCACAAACTTTGGACTACCAGCCACTGGCTTTGGCGAGCGCCGCCATCTATGTAAGACAAGTTCGGGATAATAAAATAGCTTCAAAATTCAGCTGGACTGACTTTCTAAAGAAACTTGAGAAAGGGCAGCGAAGTACAATTGAGAATATTCTTACCGAGACAAACCCAAGTTACCCAAAAACAATGACCACAGCGACAACACTCGCCTTGGAAAAGATAAATGAGATCCGACACAGTTGTAGATCACTTGTTTACTTTTCTCTCTCTTTGTGCGCCACAACCAATACTAAAAGATATTGTCGTCGACTATATTATGGAAAAGAAAGAGGAATTAGAAGATAAAAGATGCGATTGAGGTAAAGATAAGTCGATGCCCATTGTTGTTGTTTGACAGAGAGGAGAGCGGTGTTTACATTCGAGTGCATGGAGTCGTGCATGACATTGTTAATTCAGTAACAAAGAAATCTCCAAAGGATAAGCAAGTTAAATCCATTCTAAGAGCTACTTCTTCCTTCTCCAAATTCGAGGATGAAGATTCTCTAGTCACTGGCGCAAAAATTGTTCCTCATTTGGCAAAAGTGATTACAGTCGCCGAACATTTGTTTTCTGAAGAAGGAATATCTCAAGTTGCTCAAGTTGACACGTTGACTCTGCAGAACTATTCTAAAGTCTTTACAACCCTCGGAAATATGTGCCGCGAGCACTCTCAATATCCAGCTGCAAGAGCTACTTTACAGCACTCCTAGCAATCGTCAAGTTAAGAGACCCAAGTAATGAATTACGAAGAACAGATAATTATAGTCACCTGGGTCTTGCCCACTGGGAAATGGGTGACCTAAAGAAGGCAAAACACTGTCACGAGCGAGCGCTGGATGTTCGTCTAGAAAAGCTCGGACCTGAGCATGTTAATGTCGCAGTCTCTTACAATAACCTGGGCCTTGTCCACCAGCACCAGGGTGATCTAAAGCAGGCAAAAGACTATCACGAGCGAGCGTTGGATGTTCGGCTGAAAAAGCTCGAACCTGAGCATGTTGATGTCCCAAGTTCTTACAATAACCTGGGCACTGTCCACGAGCAGCTGGGTGATCTAAAGCAGGCAAAAGACTGTCACGAGCGAGCACTGGATGTTCGGCTGAAAAAGCTCGGACCTGAGCATGTTGATGTCCCAATATCTTACAATAACCTGGGTGTTGTCCACAAGCAGCTGGGTAACCTAAAGCAGGCAAAAGACTGTCACGAGCTGGCGCTGGATATTTGGAAGAAAAAGCTCGGACCTGAGCATGTTGATGTCGCAACGTCTTACAATAACCTGGGCGATGTCCACCGGCAGCTGGGTGACCTGAAACATGCAAAAGACTGTCACGAGCGAGCACTGGATGTTCGGCTGAAAAAGCTCGGACCTGAGCACGTTGATGTCGCAACGTCTTACAATAACCTGGGCCTTGTCCACAAGCAGCTGGGTGATCTAAAGCAAGTAAAAGACTGTCAAGAGCTGGCGCTGGATGTTCGGCTGAAAATTTTCGGACCTAAGCATGTTGATGTCGCAATATCTTACAATAACCTGTGTGTTGTCCACTCGCAGCTGGGTAACCTAAAGCAGGCAAAAGACTGTCACGAGCGAGCGCTGGATGTTTCGCTGAAAAAGCTCGAACCTGAGCATGTTGATGTCGCAAGGTCTTACAATAACCTGGGTGTTGTCTACTGGAAGCTGGGTGACCTGAAGGAGGAAAAAGACTGTCACAAGCGAGCACTGGATGTTCGGCTAAAAAAGCTCGGACCTGAGCATGTTGATGTCGCAATATCTTACAATAACCTGGGCACTTTCCACGAGCAGCTGGGTAACCTAAAGCAGGCATTAGACTGTCTCGAGCGAGCGCTGGATATTTGGCTGAAAAGCTCGGAATTGAGTATGTTCATTTCGCAAAGTCTTACAATAACCTGGGCCTTGTCCACAAGCAGCTGGGTGACCTAGAGTAAGCAAAAGACTGTCACGAGCTGGCGCTGGATGTTCGGCTGAGAAAGTTCGGACCGGAGCATTTTGATGTCGCAACATTTTACAATAACCTTAGTTATGTCCACGAGCGGCTGGGTGATCGAGAGCAGGCAAAAGACTTTCACGAGCGAGCGCTGGATGTTACGCTGAAAAAGCTCGGACCTGAGCATCTTTCTGTCGCAAATTCTTACAATAACTTGGGCCTTGACCACAAGCGGTTGGGTGACCTAAAGCAGGCAAAAGAATTTCTCGAGCGAGCACTGGATGTTCAGCTGAAAAAGCTCGGACCTGAGCATGTTGATGTCGCAAAGTCTTACAATAAGTTGGGCCTTGGCCACAAGCAGCTGGGTGACCTAAAGCAAGCAAAAGACTGTCACGACCGAGCGCTGGATATTCGCCTTGAGATGTTTGGTCCGGAACACGTCAAGTTAAGGTAGCAGATACTTACAAAAACCTGGGCGCTGTGCACAGTTATCTCGGTCTCAGCTAAGAAGCAAAAGGGTGTTATGATCATGCGTTGGCGATTTATGTCAAGAACTTTGGCCCTGAAGATGATGAAGTGAGATTTGTTCAGAATGCACTTGCTCTGCTACGTACAGCAGAACTGAATACTGGTAACACATAAAGTTCAATAATCATAAATTCGTAATTCTTTAAAGCGTTAGGCTCATTACTCGTAGATCAGCGAAGATCAAATCGGAATTGAGAGTTCAAAAAAAGATATCAAGACTTCTGTTTACAGCATACTTATACAGATTAAGTCAAGCAACACCTAATTGTGGTGCATTGTAATGTAGAAAATTTAAGAAACAACAACTGACAATTTCCCTGTAAGCCAGACTTCTAGCGATCAACATTACAAGTTAAAGTGCCATCAGAGTGCAAATCTCAAGAACTTTTGCAGGCTCACTATTGAAACCATAGCAAAGTTAGACTAAAAATGGCAGAATATCTAAAAAAAATTGAAACGCGCTGTGGTTTTTCCCCCTAGATCACGACACCTGTAGAGAAATTACACTTCAAACTTTCACCTCAGATGTCTCTCAAAACGGCCACGAAATATCTTTTGCACACCATAGTTTCATCCTTGCTGATATTAACCGGTCTATCGTCGAAGTTCGATCGTCAAAATGCATTTGGAGTAAGTTCGGCTACGTTGATATCGACACATCAGCTGGGCGGTGCTCAGCGATAGTTTCATCATATTTTGCTTTTAAAAAAGTGGTTTTGAAGTATCAAGGATTAATCCTTTCAATATTTTTAAAAGTTGCGCCATATCAATTATTATTAAAAACTGGATCATTGGATAATGCAATTCAAGACTTTTTATGGACTTAGCCACAATCTACAAATATGATAAGCGCACGCGTCGCCTTAAAATTAAAAGGGAGCTAAAAAGAAGAGGAGAGAAGATTTGTCTAATATCGTGGGGGTGTTTTTAATAAAACATTTATTCCACTCGCGCTTGTTGGATATGAGATGATTATAGCTAACTCGGCGCTACGTGCCTCGTTGGCTATCGATCATCTCATATCCAACGCGCGCTCATGGAATAATTGTTAAGTATCCTGAAGATCACTCGCAAAAACCGATATCGCATAATCGCGAAGCGATGAACGCGATATCGGTTTTCAACAATAAAAATAAACAATATTATTGCTTCGTATATGAGAACGATCCTTCACAGTAAAGCACTATTTGAGCAATAGTGAAAATCAGACCTGAAAAAAATTTCAGGCCTGTACGGAATTCGAACCACTGACCTCTGCGATACTAGTGCAGCGCTCTACCAATTGAGCTAACAAGCCAACTGGGAGCAGGCCATCAAATTAATTCGAACGCTTTTTCATTCCATGTTCCCACCAATAACGTAGCTCCATTCTCTGCCTTTAAAGTGCTACTGAAACGAATTTTTCGTAACGCGATCGAAGGCTTTCTCTTGATCTAAACTCTTTGTTATATTCGATGCCCACTCAACCAAGATAATGGCTTGAGAATTTGTGTCATGCTCTACAAAGCAAATCTGCTTTTGTTTGAGGTGAACAGAGCCTGGCACTAGAGGAGGTCGGTAAGAGCTCGAAAGATGATTGTCGCGTGTGGTTCGCAGCATCCTCCTGCGTGCATGTCTCGTGTTTGTCTCCGCTGGCCTGAAAATGCCACGTCTCCTTCGCAGCCGTTCTTTAGCTAACAGCTTCTTCGTAGCGAACAATATTTCTTTCCCTTTGTTTGAGGGTATAGACCCTTACAGATTGCGCTAGTAAAAGTGGTACATTATTATTATTTTTATTTTTTTTTCCTTAAGCTTCTTTGTTTACTGGAAAGTCTGAAATTATGTGGAGTGCTGGTGCTATAATCATGTTGAAACCGTGTATTGTGAAATTCTCATCATGCTCAACAAGATATTATGCCAGTCAACACTAAGTTCGACTTAGATTCTGGGCGCTTTTTCAGGTGAACATTGCAATTATCGCATTTCTGATTTTCTTGCTTTTGGAAAAAGGTCTTTAGATTTCTACCCTCTTACTCAAAAGTTTTTCAAGAAGTTATCTTTGTCTTTACCCTCATTTTTTCCTTCCCTTTTTGAATCCTGTCATTTTGTCTTTTTCCGTATAACATATGAGTAACTCTTCCTGGACACAACTACAGTTCACTGCAGCAAAAAGTATCATTAGCAAAACTCACACCTACCCTTGTCGCAATGTCATTTAGATGACAAACAGCTAGGTAACGGAATGATTGATTTGCATTGCATGTTGATGCATTGCATGTTGATGTCGCAATGTCTTACAATAACCTGGGCGTTGTTCACGGGAAGCTTGTCACCTAAAGCAGGCGAAAGGCTGTCACGAGCGAGCGCTGGATATTCGGCTAAAAAAGCTCGGACCTGAGCATGTTGATGTCGCAATGTCTTACAATAACCTGGGCCTTGTCCACCAGCAGCTGGGTGACCTAAAGCAGGCAAAAGTTTGTCACATGCAAGCGCTGGATGTTCGGCTGAGAAGCTCGGACTTGAGCATGTTGATGTCGCAATGTCTTACAATAACCTGGGCGTTGTTCACGAGCAGCTAGGTGACCTAATGCTGGCAAAATACTTGCACGAGCGAGCACTGGATGTTCGGCTAATAAAGCTTG